AAATAACCAGTCATTTTACTTTAGGAGAATAATTTACCATGCAAGATTCTTTCTCGTATAAAATTACTCTTTTTTCTTGATAACCTTCCTTACCAAAAATACATGTCTTGTCTATATCTTTCTTCACATCTCTCTTCACCATTTACTGCTTTCTTTCTAGTTTGTTTCATAAGTAACCTTTTCAAACTCGTAATTTGAATCAACTTTTAAACTTTTGAATTAGACAAAATAATTCTTTTTCTCAATAAGGACACCTCTTCTTTGGCACATTTTATAGAAACCTAGGAAAAAAATCCTGAACTATCAGATATTAGTATTGTATAGATGAGAAACATTTCACAATTTTTAGAACAGTCTTCTCTATATAATAACCCTTTCTTAATTGGAATTGACCAAGACATCCAGTAAGCATCCAAAATGATTTTAAGATTTTAAATTATACAAAAAATTTCACACTAGAACCATTGATCTCATTGACGTGTACTCAGTTTTTCCGTTTTAACAGTTTACCTAGAGTACTTTTGAAAACTGGGATATTACCCAAAAGTAGTAATTATTTAGTTATGTCCCTATTACCATTTTTAAAGTCTGTGGACATAAGGTGTTTTACCTAAGTAGGAACCTTAAAGTTCAATATATGCGCATTTTGTTAATAGCACAGAAGATTTAACTGTTTTCATTGAACTACTGATATTAAATTAGTCTAACTCATCTATAAAATCACACAAACAAAAATTATTCTGTTTTTGGCTGGGTTTATGGTCCTATAGGCTTTATGTCATATCCTGACACCTTAATATATAGACAGAGATAAATACAAAACCATTTGTTCAGTAAACTCAGATAAAAATATGCTGATCATTTTGAAGATATTTCTAATATTATGTCACCAATAATCTTAAAACCAGTTTTATTTGTCAAGGATTATTAAATTTATGTGAACTTGAAAAGCTTCCTGACTTATGAGCGCTTATTTACTTGTAAGTCAATTTGGTAGCAGGCTAGACATAACACACAAACATGTCTACATATGTACATACACACAAACATGTCTACATATGTGCACACATACATGTCTACATATGTACATGCAACAAGCGTATCAACTATGTACATGCACACAAAATCTACATATGTGTACCTACAAACATGTCTACATATGTACATACATGTCTACATATGTACATACACAACATGTCTACATATGTACATACACACAAACATGTCTACATATGTACATACACAACATGTCTACATATGTACATACAAACATGTCTACATATGTACATACAAACATGTCTACTATGTACATACACAAACATGTCTACATATGTCATACACAAACATGTCTACATATGTACATACAACGTCTGCGTATGTACATACACACAAACATGTCTACATACGTACATACACAAAATCTACGTACATACACAAACATGTCTACATACGTACATACACACACGTCTACATATGTACATACACAACATGTCTACATATGTACATACACAAACATGACTACACATGCATATACAAACATGTCTACATATGTACATACATAACATGTCTACATATGTACATACAAACATGTCTATATATGTATATACACACAAACATGTCTACATACGTACATACAAACATGTCTACATATGTATATACACACAAACATCTACATATGTACATACACATGTCTACATATGTACATACACACAAACATGTCTAAACAGGTATACACACACAAGCAAAGGTCTCATAGCTTTTACCCTGGGATTCTAACCATAAAGTAACAGTCCACACTCAGTATTTTATAAAAAATAGCTGGATACACGTTATTGTCTGACAAAACTGGAACCTGTTTCCATGGCTAAATTGTGTTTTCTCCAATATATACTCTATGAAAGCTGTGAACCAAAATTTGAGTAAAGCAATCTTTATGGCAGTTTTGTTTTTAAAAAAGCATCTTTTACCTTTTTTTTTCCTTCAGTTTTAAACACGTTTCCTGTGTTTGCTTTCCAGTTAGTCAGTAAATAATGTGTCTTATCACAGCACCAACAGCTTAGTAACAGCCAATCTGAAGCAGGCAGAAGACAAAACAGAGGAAGAAAGAGGTTTTGATGACTCTGCTTCACTTAATAGCTGCAGTTAACCATTTGAGCTCTCAAGTTTTCTTGCTATAGTTTGCCTCTCTGTTTAAAATGTTCACAAAAGTAGGTCTTAATAAGTAGCCAGCTGAAATCCGAAGAGAATGAGAATATGAAGTTCCTGCCAGGCTCTGCAAAGGAGGGAAAGAGAAAAAGATAGAAAAGGAGGTTTGTGAACCTTCTAGCTGCTGCATGGTATAGGGTTGGTATCCCCCCACTCTTGCTGACATCCCATCAGGGAGAGCCCCAGTACCCTGGACATGCACAGTGTGAGACGAATCCCTCCCACCTCTGCAAGTCATGGGCAAAGGAAACTGTTGACAGCTGGCGAGAGCTAGGGGTACCTTTGACTGAGATGAGTAAGGCTGTAGGTGGCTTCCAAGATAATCAGGAAGATGAAGTTGAAAGTGAAAAGGATAGGAAGAGACCAGGGCCCACACTCAAAGGTCATACACTCACACTTACAAACAAATGGTGAGCTTCCAAACAAACCCCAGTTAAGGGCTGGGTAGAATCCTGAATTTCTTTCCTCTGTTCAAAACAGCTCCACAGGTATCTGAAACCAAGTGGAGCGATGCCCAGGAGTGCCACAAATTCAAATCCGTCAAACACTCAAGTGATAGTCCCGTTAGTGAACAAGACGAAACAGCAGAGCCCCAGCGACACCCCAGAAGACACGGGAAAGCTGGGTGCAATCCGACCAGCTCACTTGGTTGCAAGGGTTGCCAGCTTCTTCAGAGATCACATTCTTTGTACCAGCAAAGTGTCGATGGCTGCAGAAGTTGTGCGAGGAAGTGAAAGGGAGGGTCTAGGAAATGAAAGATTTTCAGCAGCCACTTGGAAGTTCCCTAACGTTCCTGCCATGGGGTCCGCTAGCCTTCAGCTGCTGGTACTCACAGGTAACCCTCCGCCTTGGTAGCAAAACCAGGCTCACAGGCTTGGGTTGCCAGAGCACATAATGCTCCCCATATGGGCCACCAAATTTGTTACCAAACACAGGTTTGGCCTCTTGTCACTGACACTATCAAATAACAAGCATGAGGGTGGTAAAAAGAAAGTGACTTTATTTCACAGTTTAGCAATGGAGAAGAACCAGGTTCGTATCTAAGGAGCCGCTTCAGTTTTCTGGGAAGAAAGCAGGGTTTTAAGAAGAGAAACTTTCTTATGCAGGGCGTGCAAGGAACATGGAGGTGCGGGGTCTATGTGACTTGCTGTAAAACTTAGCTAAGAGTCATTGGTTAGTCTGACCAGTGTCATTGAGGACAGAGTCGGAATGTGGATTATCTATTGTCTTGAGACAGTCTCCCTGTGAGGGAGAATTCTGGATGGTGCCTGCTTTGGTTCAACATTTGGTCCTTAGAATTTCTAAGGAAACATACTTAGATAAGCTGGCAGTCCTTGCAGGTGTTTCACTGGTGGAAACGAAGGAAGGAAAAGGTTAAATTTGCCTTTCTAAGGAGCTAAGCAAGAGGTGAACAGTGAGAAAGAGAAAAAATACACAGGTAATTTTTAGGAAATGCTATACTGGGTTACAATTTAACATAATCACTGTGTCTAAAGAGCTACCCTATACTTCATGCAAACTACAGCCTGTGGCATTCATGGAGTGACGAACAGAGAAAAAAATAGTTTTAAGTGCAAAGGAAACTGGAGATTTTTTTAAGGAAAATCAGTGAGGAAGAAACCTTTATTGGCTTCCCTTTTGGGAGAAATGTTCTCTTATAAGTAGAAATTGTACTTTAATTATTTCATAATGTAGTGATTTACCAGCCACAACTAGCAGGATAACATAGGAAAGGCAGGTTGGTGTCCACACAGGGTCACTAAATCTACCTACACGCCATTTACTTTATTTCTAAAAATATCCTTCATCCTTGGGCTTGATGCAGGATCACTGAGTCATGGAAAACTTTGTGTTTTTGTAGTCATAAATGAGATGAAAGCATAAAGGTGAATTATTCTTTATTAAAGAATTCATTTAAATTACTTTTCTTTGTATCTTTGCTTTTTGTTTCTGTACTGCTCCAGTACTCCTGTGAACCATGTCTGAGTGGAGTAATGATGGCACCACAGTCCAGCCTGCATGGGTGTTGGCCTGAGTGCTCCCGCCTCATGAAATTCAGCCACCTCTTTCTCCAGTCAGTTCCATATTCTCAACTCCGACTGTCTTCCAGAGTCCGTGTCACACCACAGCCTGGAAACTCTCCCCAAGCAGTAACCTGAAGCAACAGTAAACCTCATTATTTTGCCTCTCTCAGATGTCACTGTCCTTCATTGTTTGATGTGCACTGTCTTGCAATCCATCCTTCCAGATAATCATCCATTTTTAAATGTGATAAGCCATGTCCAATCCCCATAAGTTTTACCACAACATTTTGTTTCATTCTTCCTGCAGTTACTCCATCATTACTGTACCACCGCCTATATGGATGTAATTGTCAGTGTGAAGCTGAGTAAGGAACAACGTGCACCAGACTCACAGAGAAAAATGGACAAGCGAGCTGGCCTTTGTATCACTAAAGGGAAGGTCAGATTGGTGAATATGTAATGTCTGTAGTAGTCTTGTTGGGGACATCCACAGCATGTCAATGAATCAAAAACTTAAGTAGGATCTCAAAGAAATAATAATATCTCTATCTAAACTCTTATACACATAGTAGACTTATTACACTTACTGAAAAAGTTCGTCTAGAGTTTTAAATTTACGTTTTATTCATATACAAATGAAAGCAATATTGAAATTAATTCATAAATTAACTCACACATATATCTTGATATTCTGATTATGATTGTTCTGAATTAGGTTTTGACACTTTTTCAAAGTGATTATTGATACAGTTGGATGAATATTCACCATGTTTGTTACTATCTTCCTTTTTGCTGCCCCTGTTTCCAATTTTGTCTTCCATTCATTTTCCTTTTTTGTGGTTTTTATTCAGCATTTCATATAATTCAATATTCTTTCTTAGCATCTCAGACTTTTTATACTTTTTTATTGGTTACTCAAGAAAGAAAAGCTTTTAATTTTCATATTCTTAATTGATCTTACATATAACAGCTTATTTAAAATAATTATATTCAATAGCAGACAGGTGCCTTTCAAAAAAATAGTAGCAAGGCTGGGCGTGGTTCAGGCTTGTAATCACAGCAGTTTGGGAGGCCCAGGTGGGTGGATCACCTGAGGTCGGGAGTTCGAGACCAGCCTTGCCAACATGGTGAAACCCCATCTCTACTAAAAAAAATACAAAATGTAGCTGGACGTTGTGACACACATCTGTAATCCCAGCTACTCAGGAGGCTGAGGCAGGAAAATTGCTTGAATACGGGAGGCAGAGGTTGCAGTGAGCTGAGAACGCACCACTGCACCCCAGCCTGGGTTACAGAGCAAGACTCTGTTTCAAAAAAAAAAAAAAAGCAATTTATTTAATTATATTTTGTAAGTATAAGATATATACACACCTATAAGTAAAATGAAAGACAGGAAAAGAGGGACAAAAGGAAAAATACAGGAAAAAGGAAGAAACAGTTAGAACTATTGTAAGATGGTTACACTACTTCTGAAGCAGTATAATTTTATATGAAAGGAGCTTAGATTAGTTGTAAATATAAATTGCAACCTCTAGGGCAGGATTGGAACGGGAGCCTCAGTTTTTTGCTGTCTGTGGCCAGAGGCTGCATTCAGTTATTTCCTATGTTGGCTTCTCCCATGGCAGAATGTGTCATCAAAGCCACCATGGGAGAGAGTTGCGGCAAGACAGGTATCATAATCTTAGGTAACATGATTACTCAAGTGACGTCCTATCACGTTGTAGTCTTTGATGTATCAAAGCAAGTCTCAGTTTCTCCCCAAAGTCAAAAGGAAAGGATTAGAATATTGGGTTATGTACACCAAGCTGTGAGGATCATTGCGCACCATCTCAGCGCTCACCTGCCAACATCAGGTCTTACTTAATCTGAGACAGGTTCTCAGTCCTCACTTACTTTGCTGACCTTGGCCTTTGTGAGAAAACAGGTCACATAATTTGTAAAATGTATCACAATCTGGATTTCTCTGAATGTTTCTCATGATTTTACTGAGCCATATAGATAGAGACATGTAATTGTCTATTTGTGAAGACAAGAAACAGCGAACAGGACATTATTTACAAATACAGATTTAGAGACCAAAACTAAGAAAGAAAAGTTTGCAAATGGAAAAAGGAAAATTAAAAATAATAGTAATGTTCACCAGGGTAACAAAAAGGGTAGGAATAGGGAAGTGAGCACCTGGGACACTACAAGATCGACAGTGTTCTGCTTAGTAAGCTCAATAGTATAATTTTAAAATATATATGTTTTATTTATTTGTTTTGTTTGCTTGTTTTGTTTTTTTGGGTTTATTTTTTTTGAGACGGAATCTCCCACTGTTGCCAAGCTGGAGTGCAGTGGCACAATCTCGGCTCCTGCAAGCTCCGCCTCCCGGGTTCAAGCGATTCTCCTGCCTCAGCCTCCCGAGGAGCTGGGACTACAGCGCCGCCACCACGCCAGGCTAATGTTTGTATTTTTAGTAGAGACGGGTTCCCCATGTTGGCCAGGATGATCTTGACCTTGTGATCCACCCGCCTCGCCTCCCAAAGTGTAGGGATGAGCCATAGCGCCCGGGCTATTTATTTGTTTTTTTAAATATTTTTTACAATACTTTTGGATTTACAGAATAGTTGGAAGTACATACTGAGAGTTTATATATACTCAACACATAATTTCCCTTTTATAAATTCTTACATTCATTTGAAACACTTGTTGCAGTTGGTGAACCAATATTATACATTATCATTCACCAACATTCACGATTGATCAGATGTTCTGTTTTCATGTAACGTCCGTATTCTGTTCCAGGATTCCGCCCAGGACACCACATCACATTTAGGTATCTTGTGCCAGTTTCTCAGATGTTTCCTATTTCTGATGTCATTGAAATCCCTCCTTTGGGATGTCTCTGGTGTTTTCCTAATGACTGGATGGCCGGTGTGGATTTAGCAGAGGAAAACCCCAGAGGGAAGGTTTTATTCTCATGATACTGTGACAAGAGTACATAGTATCAACATGCTCTATCACTTTTTTTTTCTTTTTTTTTGAGATGGGTCTCATTCTGTTGCTCAGGTTGGAGGGCAGTGGCGTGAACAAAGCTCACTGCAGCCTCGAACTCTTGGGCTTGAATGATCCTCCACCTCAGCCTCTTGAGTAGATGGGACTGCAGGCATGTGCCACCACATCTGGGTGATTTCATTTTACTTTTACTTTGATAGAGGCAGAATCTCAAGACATTGCCCAGGCTGGTCTCTAAGCCCTGGCCCCAAGCGATCCTCTCACCTCAGGCTCCCAAAGTGCTGGGATTACAGGTGTGAGCCACTGTGCCCAGCTGCTTTATCATGGTTAATGTTATTTGATCACATGGATGAGGCAGTTTAGCTCAGTTTTCTTCACTAAAATTAATATTATTCCTCTTTTCATGTTGTACCTTTTGGAAAAAAACATCACTATACCCAGCGCATACATAGAAAGTAGGAAATTATGCCCCATTCCCTATGGGCAGACTTTCTATAAACATCATTTGAGTTTCTGTAAAAAATTTAACATTCTTTAGGCTGTTCTGGATCAGTTGCATTTTTCTGTGTGTTTTAGAATCAGTGGTCCAAGAACTGCTAAAAATGAAAAAAAATAGTTAGAATTTTAGTAGGGCTTGTATTGAATCTGAAGATGCATTTAGAAAGTATAAGCATCTTGGTTAATACTTAATAGCTTTCTGATCAATGAAAATCTAGTTTATATGGCACATTACACTAATTCTTCTATTCATTTATTTAGGATTTCTTTAATACTTCAATATTATTTGTAATTTTCAGTATATATATCTTGCAGTTATTATGTTTTTTTCCTTTTTGATGCCGTGTTAAATGAAATTATTTTGAGTTTCATTTTTGATTAGTTTGTATTGTATAAGAATGCAATTTATTACATTGATCATGCATACTGAATTTTGTTTTTGTTTCAACGTTATTTTAGTGGATTTTTTAGGATTTTCTTTTTTTTTTTTTTTTTTTTTTTTTTTTTGGATTTTATTTTTTATTTTTTTTTTTAATTTATTTATTATTATTATACTTTAAGTTGTAGGGTACATGTGCATAACGTGCAGGTTTGTTACATATGTATACTTGTGCCATGTTGCTGTGCTGCACCCATCAACTCGTCATTTACATCAGGTATAACTCCCAATGCAATCCCTCCCCCCTCCCCCTCCCCATGATAGGCCCCGGTGTGTGATGTTCCCCTTCCTGAGTCCGAGTGATCTCATTGTTCAGTTCCCACCTATGAGTGAGAACATGCGGTGTTTGGTTTTCTGTTCTTGTGATAGTTTGCTAAGAATGATGGATTCCAGCTGCATCCAAGTCCCTACAAAGGACTCAAACTCATCCTTTTTTATGGCTGCATAGTATTCCATGGTGTATATGTGCCACATTTTCTTAATCCAATCTGTCACTGATGGACATTTGGGTTGATTCCAAGTCTTTGCTACTGTGAATAGTGCTGCAATAAACATACGTGTGCATGTGTCTTTATAGCAGCATAATTTGTAATCCTTTGGGTATATACCAGTAATGGGATGGCTGGGTCATATGGTACATCTAGTTCTAGATCCTTGAGGAATCGCCATACTGTTTTCCATAATGGTTGAACTAGTTTACAATCCCACCAACAGTGTAAAAGTGTTCCTATTTCCCACATCCTCTCCAGCACCTGTTGTTTCCTGACTTTTTAATGATTGCCATTCTAACTGGTGTGAGATGGTATCTCATGGTGGTTTTGATTTGCATTTCTCTGATGGCCAGTGATGATGAGCATTTTTTCATGTGTCTGTTGGCTGTATGAATGTCTTCTTTTGAGAAATGTCTGTTCATGTCCTTTGCCCACTTTTTGATGGGGTTGTTGTTTTTTTCTTGTAAATTTGTTTGAGTTCTTTGTAGGTTCTGGATATTAGCCCTTTGTCAGATGAGTAGATTGCAAAAATTTTCTCCCATTCTGTAGGTTGCCTGTTCACTCTGATGGTAGTGTCTTTTGCTGTGCAGAAGCTCTTTAGTTTAATGAGATCCCATTTGTCAATTTTGGCTTTTGCTGCTGTTGCTTTTGGTGTTTTAGACATGAAATCTTTGCCCATGCCTATGTCCTGAATGGTACTACCTAGGTTTTCCTCTAGGATTTTTTGGTATTAGGTCTAACATTTAAGTCTCTAATCCATCTTGAATTAATTTTCGTATAAGGAGTAAGGAAAGGATCCAGTTTCAGCTTTCTACTTATGGCTTGCCAATTTTCCCAGCACCATTTATTAAATAGGGAATCCTTTCCCCATTTCTTGTTTCTCTCAGGTTTGTCAAAGATCAAATGGCTTGTCGATGTGTGGTATTATTTCTGAGGACTCTGTTCTGTTCCATTGGTCTATATCTCTGTTTTGGTACCAGTACCATGCTGTTTTGGTTACTGTAGCCTGTAGTATAGTTTGAAGTCAGGTAGCGTGATGCTCCAGCTTTGTTTTTGGCTTAGGATTGTCTTGGAGATGCGGGCTCTTTTTTGGTTCCATATGAACTTTAAAGCAGTTTTTTCCAATTCTGTGAAGAAACTCATTGGTAGCTTGATGGGGATTTTCTATATATTAGGTTATGTCAGTGGCCAATAGATTGTTTGACTTCTTCCCTTTCAATTTGAAAGTCTTATATTTATTTTTCTATCCTACTATTATAAATTATGTCCTCAAGCATAATGTTTAGTTAAATTAGTGGGAATAGGTAACCTTTTGTTTTATAAGTTTGGGAATATTACTGAGACCTACTTGGTACCATGTGTTGTCATGTGAATTTTTCATAGGTGCCTGTTTTAGGTAAGCACATTCCCTTTATGCAAAATGTGTTTAGTGTTTTTCTGTGAGTGGGTTTTTGAATTGGAAAGTGCTTATTCCATATTTTTAGATGTGATAATGAAAATTTTGTCATTATATTAATATAGTTATTATACTAATTCTTTTTATATGTTTTACTAAACTTATGATCCTGAGTAAATAAATGAATAAATAAATTAGTGTTTAATTCTGTTTTACGATCCTGATTTGCGTTGAAACTATTTCCTTGAGAATTATTGCCTAGGTATCCATAAAGCATATTAGTTTATAGTTTTCGTTTTTTGCATTGTCTTTGTCTGGTTATAACCTCAGAAGAAGCTGCCTTATAGGACACACTGCACACTGATCTCTTCTCTGTTATTTAATTTTTTTGGAGAACAGTTAGTAAAAAATTGCTGTTGATATTTTAAAGGTTTGGAATAATTCATCAATGTAATCTTCTCAACCTGGTCAGTCACATGAACTTCGAAGATGATTCCTCCCCAGCTGATCCTTCAGGTGAGACCTCAGCCTTGGCAATCATCTACATCTAGATTCCTGATTCAGAGAAACTGTGAGTAATTTATGTGTGCTTTTGAGCCACTAAGCTATGTGGTAATTGGCTATGCTGCAATAAACAATAATATACTTGATGGTAAACATAGTATGTTATCCTTGATTAGATCCAAAAAAAGGAAAAATGGCATTAGTGGAAAACCTGGTAAAATATGAAGACAGTCAGTACTTTAGTTAATAGTTTTGCGCCTTTGTCAGTCTGTGAATTCTCACAGATAGTCTATGGTTATGTGTATGATATTAATGTTGCAGGAAATTGAAGGGTATATCCACTTTTTGTAGGATTTTAACAACTCTCTATAGATCTAAAATTACTTCTAAATAAATAGAAGTGTAGACATGGCTCATATATTTGAGATCAGGTCTCCCTGTTAATTAAGCCTTCAGGGAACCTACAACTCATAGTACAAATGCAATAACATTATAAAATATAAATGAGATGAGTTTCTATTTTACTCACTCTATTCCTCAGGGAACACTAAAGCCCATTCTTCTTCTCAAGTATCCAAAACTAAAGTTGATCCAAGTAACAAGTGGACAGCATAAAAGATTGTATGGAAACTATAATGCATTTACATTTTCAGTTACTAATCGTAAAATGATTTGTATGATCATTCTTCAGATGATTAGAATGACTATGGGAAAGAAGAAAAAGAAATGCAACTTTCTTGATTTAAAAATTGTATCTGTGCAAGAGTGGTGGCACACCCCCATACTCAGTCCCAGCTACTAGGGAGGTTTGGTAGGATGATCATGTGATACCAGGAGTCTGAGGCTGTGCAGTGTGCTATGATTGTGCCGGTGAATAACCATGCTCTCCAGCCTGGGCAACATAGTGAAACCCCATTAAATAAATAAATTAAATAAATACATAAATAAGTTACAGAGATCATTGTTTATATTTCTATTATTAGGCCTCAAATCCTCTAGATAGAGTTTTTTTTGTTGTGTTTGTTTTTTGAGTTGGAGTCTCACTCTGTCACCCAGGCTGGAGTGCAGTGGCGCGATCTCAGCTCACCGCAAGCTCTACCTCCCAGGTTCACACCATTCTCCTGCCTCAGCCTCCCGAGTAGCTGGGACTACAGGTGCCTGCCAACACGCCCGGGTAATTTTTTTTGGTTTTTGTAGAAACGGAGTTTCACCGTGTTCACCAGGATGGTCTCAATCTCCTGACCTCATGGTCCACCCGCCTCGGTTTCCCAAAGTGCTGGGATTACAGGCGTGAGCCACTGCACCAGGCCTGAGATTTTTCTTTATCTTTGGAGAGCTACGACTCCAGCGCAAAGTTTCAAATAATGCTTTGCCATTTTTATTTTCCCTCTGAAGGATTCCTGGAACTATAGTTTGTAAAATTATCGCACAACATGTGTTTTATTTTGCTTCTGTTTGCTGTTAAGGCCTCTCTGGATGGTGGCTATAACCTATAGCCTTGCCCAGTACGACTCAGCGTTTGGTACTGGCTCTGCCTTTCATGGGATGCTTACTTATCCTGATGGATGGCCTAAAACCGAACTGTCCAGCTTACATCCGGGTATCCTTCTCAGAGAGTACTTGTTTATACTGTAAGACACCCTGTGGCTCCCGTCTGACCTGTGTCTAGTTTATTTCTACCAAGGTAACCACTCTTTAGGAGAGTGCTGAGTGGGAGAAAAGTGAGGTCCATGTGTGTTCGTCAAGTGAAATACAGAGGAGGCAACTCAACACAATGTGTATAATGGCGTTAGTAATGTATTACTAACCTATCCCAGTAAGAAGAGGCCAGCATTCCTTGAAGTGCCAGTGAAAAGAGAAGAGCTCTCCAGGCCACACACTCATAAGCAGCAGGGGTGGTGGAGGAGAACTAGAGAAAGACATGCTATTGCCCCATTTGTCTGAAGTCTTTATGGGTGTATTTGTCAGTTTTTTTTTTCCAGCGAGACAGAACTACAGGGAGGTGATAGGTAAGTAGGTAGGTAGGTAGGTAGATACGTAGATGGAGAGTTGATAGATAGACATAGTTAGATGAATGGCATTTTGCTTCGGATTTACTCGTGTAACATTGTAGAGACAGAGAATTCCCAAGACAGCCATCTGTGAGTTTAAGGACCTTGGATGCTGTAGCGTGATGGCTCAGTCCAAAGCTGAAATCTTCAGAACCAGGGAAGCTCTTGGTGTAATTCTCAGTTTGGGACCAATGGCCTGAGAATCCAGGGCATTTACTGGTATAAGTTCTGGAGTTTCAAGGTCATAGATCATGGAGTTGTATTTTCCAAGGCAGGAAACGGAGTATACTTTCTCCTGGAGAGAGACCGGAAAACTTTTAAAATTTTTTCATTTTTGGTTCTATTTGGTCCCCAAGGAGATTGTATGCTGCCTTCCCTCATTGAGGCTGGATTTTTCCCACTAAATTCCCTGACTCATACCAACCTCCTCTGGAAACACCCTGGCAGACACACCCAGAAGTATGATTTACCAATTCTCTAGGTATTCTTTAATCCAGTCAGCACCTTAAATTAACCATGACAAGTCCAGCACCTTTCTAGTTGGCACCTATATGTATCACCTTAAGCCATAACTAACCTTTAGATACAGACAATAACAAGGCAATAGTTCTACCTAACATGATGCAACCATCCTGTGTGCAACCAAAACACACTATACTATTTCTCTTAAGAGCAGTGGAAGTTTGTGGGTGATGTTTACTCTTCTCCTGATACCCCATAACTTCAATACAAGTATGTTAAATTGCTAACACTTAACTGTTAGTATCAAGTGAACACATTCTTGTGTTTTGTGACAAAAGAAGAAGAGAGAAATAAAAACAATGTTATTTGCCTAATATATTGATATATAACATGCAAATGTATTCTTAACAAAGTAGATAGGAAATACTAGTGACAATTTTAATCCTTGTTTCTGTAACTGGTCACCTGGTCCTGTCTGGTATGTATGCATGTATTTATTTTATCATTTTTTTTTAAATTTTTTTTTAATTTTTTGACACAGAATCTCACTCTGTCTCCCGGGCTGGAGTGTAGTGACATGATCTCGGCTCACTGCAAGCTCCGCCTCCCTGGTTCATACCATTCTTCTGCCTCACTGAGTAGCTGGGACTACAGGTGCCCGCCACCACGCCCAGCTAATTTTTTGTATTTTTAGTAGAGACGGGGTTTCACCGTGTTTGCCAGGTTGGTCTTAATCTCCTGACCTCGTGACCACCTGCCTCAGCCTCCCAAAGTTGGGATTACAGGCATGAGACACTGTGCCCGGCCCTGTCTGGTATTTATAACTCCCTTCTACTGCTACCCATTGTGTATTCTCTTTGTCTTCAGCAATCCCCTTTGCTGGTCCTGGGTCTTTATCTGGCAGGGGATGCAAACCTTCATTCCTGAAACATCTGGAGCAGTTGTATTCTTGTCTGGAATGGTTGTAATAATCCATTGAACTTAATAACAGGGAATAGTAATACTAAGACTTTGTGTTAGTCCATTTTCTGTTACTGATAACAGAATACCTGAAACTGGGTAGTTGATAAAGAACACACATTATTTCATACAGTTATGGAGACTGAAAAGTCCAAGGTTGGCAGGTTGTATGTGGCGAGATCCTGTTGCTGGTTGGGACTCTCTGAAGAATTCTGAAGTCTACAGGGTATCATATGGCAATGGAGTAGCGCTTGCTGACATGCAAGATCATGTCTCCCTTCTTACAAGCCACTCTTCTCTCAGACTATTAATCGTTAAATATTAATGTATTGATTCATGAAGGGATTAATTCACTTATGGGGTCAGACTCTTCATGATCCAATCACCTTTTAAAGGCCTCATAATTCAACACTGCCATGTTAGGGATGAAATGTCAGCATAAATTTGGAAAGGAAGCAATATTCCAACCCTAGCATTGCACTTCTGACTCTCTAAAAATCACACCCTGTCACAAAAATTTTATTTCATTCCTATAGTTCCAAGGCTTAAATTGTTCCAGCACCAACAGAAAGTTCTAAAATCTAAAGTCTCCTCTGTCAGCCCATGAATCAAAACAAGTTTTCTTGATACAAAACTCGGCAGTTGGGTTGTTAATGCCCACTGGGTTCATGTTGGCTGCTTCCCAGATAGAGCCACTTTACCAAGATAAGGGAATTACTATAGAGAAAATTTTATACATGTAGAGCCAGCTAAAAGAGAGAGCGAGTTTTCATATTACTCTAAACTGCTGCTCCAAATACTCAGAAACTAGCGTTTTTATAGATAGTTTTGTGGGCAGGGGGTTAGAGAAAGGGACATGCTGATTGGTTGGGTCAGGGATGAACTCTTAGGAAGTCAAAGCCATCTTCTTTGCTGACTCAGCTCCTGGGTGGGGGCCACATATCCAGATGAGCCAGTTTACTGGTTTGGGTGGCACCTGCTGATCTGTCAGAATGCAAGTTATTAGAAATACCTCAAACACCAACCTTAGATTTTACAATAGTAATGTTATGTATAGGAGCCATTGGGGAGTTAATTAATCTTGTGGCCTCTGATTGTATGACTCCCGAGCCATGCTTTCTAATACGGTGGTTAATTTGTTAGTTTTACAAAGGTGATTGTGGTCCCCAAACAATGAGGGGTTTGTTTCAGGGAGGAGCTGTTATTATCTTTGTTTCAAAATTAAGCCACAAAGTAAATTTCTTCCAAAGTGGGTTTTGTTTTTGCCCAGGAATAAACAAGGGCTGCTTGGACGTGAATGCAAGATGAAGTCACTTAGGTTGTATGTCTCTCCCTGTCGTAATTTTCTCAATTACTGTTTTTGCAAATGGGATTTCAATTTCCCCTTCTGAATTTCATTGCATCTTATTCTTAAGGTGTGAGGTACAGAGTTGGGAAGAGGCCAAAGACCATTCTAACTTCTTTCTGCTGAGAAGGGGTATACTTGAGTAGGGTTTGGCCCCAGAGTAAATGGAATGAAACTGCTTTGTAGCTGTCTGC